CTGTCATTCGTTTGGTCTGTCAGTCGGTGGGTCTCTCAATCGATCTGTCGATCAGTCTGTTTGTCAGTCGGTCTTTCGTTCGGACGGTCTGTCGGTAGGTCTTTTGTTCGGTCGGTCTGTCGTTTAGTCAGTATGTCTGTCGGTCTTTCGTGTTTTGCCAGTGTTACCGAGGCATAGGGTCAACACATTTGACCAAAGACCCTTTCGTTCGACATGCAATCCACGATCTGAATGTGATTTCTCGTGTTCTGCGTCCACTTTCGTTGATCATTTCACGATTCCTCTTTTTTGTCCGACAGAGGCCCTTTTCTCTTCGAGCCAGTTCCCTTCCCTTGACTCCGTCGGACTCGAAGTGTCCAGCCATTCTGTATCTTCATTTGACTTCCGCAAACCTCCGTCCTTTCGGGATTCGAGCGTCTGCACGGCTTCGTTAACAAACAACCGACGCGTTCGTCCGCGGCGAATAGCCATTCAGGCTTCGTAGACCAGCCCCAGTTAGTCAAGTATGGTTTTCGCGGCCTGATTTGCTTTTCAGAGCTACTTCGACGAGGCTCGAAACTACATTCAGCTTTCTCTTCCTGCACCAAGCCACTGACTCGAATAACAACTCAGAGCTACTTTAAGGACAGAATTGTTTTACTTCCCTTTCGAGTGAAAGTGTTTGGCGAAGAGATTCGAAGCTCGGTTCCACCAGAAGACGACGGCCGATTCCTCATGGCCAGCTGTCGATTGACGCTGTTTCCAAGGCAATCTCCTTGGAACCATTCGTTATACATCACTCTACTCACTACGATTCACGAGTAGTGCACGTCCGTGAAAAAACCCTTTTTGCACTACTTGTGAGTAGAGTGATGTATTACGAATGGTTGCAAGGAGATTGCCTTGGAAACAGCGTCAGCATGAATCTTTCAGTAAAGCCAATCGACAGCTGGTCATGAGAAATCGGCCGTCGTCTTCTGGTGGAATCGAGCTTCGAATCTCTTCGCCAAACACTTTCACTCGAAATGCAAGCAAGCTCAACAATTATGAAACAAGCGATTCCTCAAAACCCAACTTTTCTTCGCCAGAATTAGGCTTTATAAAAAAACACTTGAACCCTTTCAGGCAGCATAAAGTGACGAGGAGGTGATCATCAAAATGCTCCCACAACGTCGTGGGCATTTTACACAACCCTGCCCCCCAAAAGCTATTTACATCCAGTCTCGACCCGTCCAATCTGATCGAATCAACAACCTTAGCCGGACTCGGACCCGAGTTTTGCTATTGCCGAAAACAAGTGGGACTGTTGATGACTACTCATATTCATATTGAGTAGTTTTTAAAAACTACCAGTATAACTTATCTAAGACCTGTACTCTTCCTATATCGTGTGCGATAATGAAGAGGTGATAGTTGACTTTTCACACAATCATATGATTGTGTCTCACATTTCTTTTGATTTTCACATAGCTCTGCCAGCCTGTGGTATATGGTACATTTGACTATTTCATATCTTCATTTCTCACAATCGCTCTCTGCCAAATTCTAGCTTTGAAGTGAACTGACGAGGTCTAATGAAGCCGTTCAGCCTCACTTAGTTCTGTCTCTCAAAAGGTCATCTCATCCCGGCTGAACTGTAGATTCAAGATAGCCTATGGTGCCAGTGGGTCCCAAGTCTCGTTTCATAGTGGGATTATGGCCAAGACAAGCCGCTAATTGCCAATAAAATGGACAAAATTTCTCACTTTCAAAAGGAGTCAATTGGAAATTATTAGTCCTTCCTGAATGAGTCCGCTCGAAGTTCTTATTCACAAGGTACAGCAAGTTTCAAAACACATTCACACCTGTGATATGAGCAATTTGTTCGATTGCAATGGGAAATATAAATTTTTTGAGATATATTCATCCTATTTCGTTTGAGGTGGGTGCATTTTTCCACAACGATAAGATTAGAGTTGACTTTTCTATATCCTTTTACTGGTGGTCTCGATAGCCTACTTATGAACAAAAAGTAAGTAATGCTGTCGATTCCCGTAACAAATACAAACTATGCATCATCGACGATCCCATCAAAGTATGTGAAATGGGAAAATGCCTGGCCTTCTCTGTATCTCTCATCCGTCCTGTGATCCAAGGGTCTGGCAACTAACGCGACAAGATTATACGTTGCACTGTCATGGTTCGAGTCCCGCTGCGAGGTCGAAAGTGCAGTTCAGACCTGCTGGGATGAGAAAAATGGTTGGGAAAGCGAGAATGTGTGAAATGCAACGGAGACGTCAGCTCTATTCATCGGATTGTGGGAAAATTCAACTCCCACTTCTTCATACACTTTATGCGAAATGGGGTAAATACGTGTGATAAAACAGATTTATTGCTAGTCTCGAAAGCCTACACATGAACGGAAAATATGAGTTGCCAGATTGACAATGTAACTTGAAGAATGGGACTCGAGACTGTTGTAACTGGCCGTGACTG